TTTTGATACCCACACCGCGACGTCAGCGCCGTTGTACGTGCGTGATTCACGACGCGTGCATAGTTGAGAGACTCGGCTCTGAATCGTATGGCTCGCGTACAACTCGGCCGGTTCTGGGAGAGGGAAACCGTGATATCCTCTTCTGGATGCGTGCCCACCTCTCTCATGGTCAGCGCCTCGACGAGGATATTTAACGGGTCAAGTAGCGGGAGGTACCAACGTTTACTCGGTCAAGCATTAAGAAAAAATGAATAAATAGATCAGACTGTGCATAATTGGAAGACGCATGCCTCCAAGTCTGGGACCAAGTATTGGAAACACCAAATGTTGCATATAACGAAATGAGAGATACGATATGATACCGAGGAAGGAGAAGAAAGTGAATATCTTGGTTTGAGGTTGAGAGTGACAAATCGGATGGTGTAAACGCTCGCGTTGTCATCGACGTTAAGCACTGAGTCTAAATAATTATCATGAAGAAACCTTCACTTTCTATTCTTGCGTAACAGCAATTGATTGATTTGTGATTTCATGTTACATGTCTTTCACGTTACAAATAAAATTGTGGATACTTGTAATATCAGGAATTCTGCAACTCTTTTTATGTATGTATTTGAAAACGATATCGTATCACTGTATCAATAAAAGCGATCAACTTTTTATGTAGGCGACTGGTAGCCTTATTTTCTTCTCGACAGAAGGTCGCTTTCTCAAGTCCATTCCGAAACAGTTGTCTATCCAGTTATCTAAAGCAGTATCGGTATTTGCTTATCTTCCTATGAATCTGAGAGAAAATATAAACGAAAGAGATCTTACATATAGAATTTTTATGGACATGCATTAGGCAATAAATGTTACTATCGGCTACATGATAGCTTGATTATTATGGGTAGAACTTCTCCCAAATTATCAATTCGTTTATGTTTTACGATGCTGTAAACTACGATAGGCTCTAACTTTGGAATGTACGATTCTTTATCTTAGATGTAGATGACAAACGCAGCGCTGACTTTCGCCTGTTTAGTAGCAACCATATCTACTGCAGTGATTTCAAGTCCGTAACAGTCATCAAGTTCTATTTGGCTGAATAATAAGACAGTGTAATGATATAAGCTTCGAAATTCTGTTTATATTTCTTAATTACTTTTTTATTTTGTAAACAAATATTTTTTCATTTTATATTAACAATTTTAATAAAAAAAACGTTTTTAAAACATGAATGCAAGAGTTATTAGATTAAAACAAGTTATTGATTTATTTTCTAAATACGATATTTTCCATGTTAAGAAAATAAGAAAATATTGAAATAAAACAAAGTTACAATATATATTTTAAACTTTGCCAAAAAAAAATACGATATTTTTAATTGAAATAAAATATGTAAGGAAGCTAGAAATCTTTTTGTGCAACAATTTATTTATTTTATAAGTTTAGTTATTTTGGCTTTAAGCGAGACTTAATATTTTTAATTTGCTGAACCAAAACAAAATCAATACTTAAATTTGCGCTTATTTTATTAAGATTAATGCAAAATTAAAACATTATAAATTTTGCTTTTGCTTTGATACAACAAATTAAAAATCTCACATAAAATGTAAGTATCGTAAGTACAATCTAAAACTGGATCTAAAACTAATTTATTTATAATAATTTTATCTGTATATATAATTTTATCTGTATATATAATAATTGTAATATTGTATTTATATTAATTGTATATAATAATTGTATTATAATTGTATTTTATAATAATTGTAATATCGTAAATACAATCTAAAACCGAATCTGATCTAAAACTGATTTATTTATAATAATTGTATATTATTAACATATATAGCGTAAACAACATTGTATGATTTTTATGCAAACAAACATCTACCTCAGAAAAAATATTGAGTCGTAAAGATAGATATTAAAGAAAACAAGTAACGGAATATCGGATGTTTCTACCTATTTCTAGGTGCTTTTCCCATTCGGCAAGCTCACGCCCCGTTTAAGGAAGGTTCCGTTTCCTTTCACCGCGATTCCTTTTACACAATAAACATTGATTATCGCGTAATACCCTATCTACATGTACACTTACGACCGCGAGCGTACGTAATACGTCTGATAGGATCATTGGGCCAAGGATCAGCCTGGCGGCTGTCTGCGGGTTCAATTCCCACGGAAGACCGGATAACGGGTGTTTAAGATGCCGGTGTCATTACCCCATGGTAAGTGACAGGTACAATCGAGCGTAACCTTTGCCTCCCTCGTGCGCCCAGAAAAAAGATCCGCGTGCTCGAATCGCGCGGATTGGAATTTCAAATCTACGTTCGAATTTGCATCAGTCTGCGAAATCGATTCCGCTCTCGCAAAATTTGCATCGCGCGCGTTAGAAGTTTTATAAACGTTCATTTAAATCAGGCGGTGACGTAAAAGCAAGACTAGGATGAGATCGCGGTGGTCGCTCACATCAGGGTCGCTCACATTAGAAATGCCCGTTGCTCAACTCGCGTGTATTCAGAATCCGGAGATCAATTCGAATTCTCGAGTCACATCGAGGAGCTCCCGTACCTTTCACAATGGGACACCGTTCATTCGCATCTGACATTACAGCCCACGTGAAATATTTCTACAATTTCCCGTCGAATATCCGCAATCATTGTCTTGTAAACGCGCCCATCTTTGTAACGCCGGTATTTTATCGAAAAGTAGAGATTTCTATTCCGAGAGACCGATCGTTCAAAATTTGTATGATAATAAAGGTTGCCTCGACATTTCCGTGAAACCGCAACGTTTACGTCATGTGGAATAAAAAAAGACTCTAACTCTTGCCGAGTTTTTCAGTCTCTTTTTCGTATAAACGTGACATGATTTCCAGTTGCTCCGTAGAGAGTCTTACCAGTGGAATCTGCGGAGCAAAAACCGATCGATACGAGCAACTTATATCCCGTAAGTATCTCTATCTGCTAGGATCGGATGTTATACGGCTATCTCGGATCTAACAAGATCGTAAAACAGTAATGAAATCGTTGTTCGCTAAATCGTTCCTTGATCCATACAAGTCGTGGTCACGTTTCAGCACGCACGTCAGTGGTCAGACGGACATTAATTAATCTTCTCGCCAGTTGCGAAATGCTCGTTTGCATCATTTAATCTTCAACTCACAGGTGAATTAGATTAAATCTCCGATATCTCAAAAGAAGCGCAACATTAGACAATCGAGTCAAATCTTTTCTTCTGGGAAGAAAAATCGATCATTTTCTCTCTCCCTCTCTCCCTCTTTTTTTTTTTGACTTGTTCGCTTATTTTCCTTCTATCCTTTTCTTTCTTGACGCATCCAAGCGACGACGATCTCGGTCGCGACATCGCATCGCGCCGAACCGCTGCGGCGACCGAAAGTTGCACAAGGTGAGCGCCTCGTGTGTCATTACGTAAGGGCGAAAACTGCAAGCCGCGCGGATTGTCGCCGGACAGTCATTATTGCGACCGAGAAGGAAAATCTCCGGTGGTCGAACGCGATAACGCCGGTGCTCGCGGATGGTCCCCTCCAGGAGATTTCCGGCGCAGGTGGAGAACGGCACGTCGTGCCTCCTGTGGCAACTGTGCACCTAAACGGGGGTGTCGGGCCGCTTAGGCTCGGCCTGGAGACCTGCTCTCGATTCTAGAGCTCTTAGAGGGAGCAACGCAGACGACCGCACCGAAATAAACTTTCCCGGGTTATGTAAAGGCTGTATGTGTGGCGTCTCCGCATCCATGGACTGCGCCGGTATAAAGGTCGGCTCTGCCCCCAACGGTCCAAGAGTTGCTCGCGAACTTCACGCCGGCAATCATCGCGAGAGGAGAACTCTACATGTGGCTGCTGCTCGTGGTGCTCGATTGGCCGCCTACCTTTTTACGCCTAACGTTGTCTATTCCGCTTTAAACCCACTGCATCCACTCGACACAAAACGCCTCGTTTTCCTCCAGGGCGCCGCGAACCGCAATTGCACAAACGCGCGACCATCGTCGAGCCGGCAGCATGCGTATCTTGGTAAGTTTGCTCCTCTTCGAAGGCTTTCTCGAATTCTACATGAGACTCACTGGTGATGTTTAATCTTCTCGCATCTCCGATGAATCAATTAATCCAAAATTTTAATACTATTTTTAATCTTAATTTTAAAGTTTATAAATTTTCTAGAGGATTGTAAAAAAATATTTATTTTATATAGACTGAGAGATTTAAATAAATAATTTCTTACTTTAAAGTTTAAAAGTTACATTTTTGCAATAACTATTTGCAATAACATTTTAAATAGGAAAATTTAAATAATATCAAAAGAAATCAATTTTTTATCAAGATAATAAAAATTTTAAGTAAAATTGAAAATTAAAAAATGTTTTAATTCTAGATTACTAAGTTATAATATAATTCATTCAATTTGCAAGGAATGTGGCATGAATAATCTAAAAGAGCGAGAAATAAATAAAAGAATTAATAACGTTTCTTTTTCATCTATGCCAGATATGATATGATACAATTTGTTTATATCGGTAATTGAAGAGAATTAAAATAAAATCAGATTGAACAAAGTTATTGCAGATTCCTTTCTTTCTTGATTTTTTAAGGTGTTAAAAAGCTGAATGTATTTTAAATATAATATAATGTTTTTATCTGACTAGTGCATAAGGATAATGTACTTTCATGTAATATATTTTTAAAAATAAGTTGTATAATTTTACTGGAATTATTTTGAGAGAGGAAAGCTTTTATGTGTAACGCAGATAAAATATGATGTGCCACCGCATTTTTGTAACTTTACGAGCTTCACGTATCTAGGTCACGGGAAAATACACATAAATAACACATACGGGTATAAAATATTTACAATATTTTATATTGGATTCTTTACTTATAATGTTAAAGCGTTATATTAAACTTTGACAATGTGAGTAGAATAGATTACCTCGTATCATTTTGCCATCATTAATTTACGCATCTCATATCGATATTATTAAACAATGTATTTTATTGTTTAAAAGCCGTTCATTCATGTCGGTCTACTTTTTTGTTATTTTACCGTACAGCTACGATAAATCCCTTCGTTGAAAAACGTCGATAAAAGTACGGGCAATAATTTCTCCTTGCAACAGTCAAAAAATAGAGAACACATTCAATTTTTGCATATATTTTCACATTAGTCACACTCCATGCATTTATTTCCATAACAATAAACACGTCCGATCATTGATTTCTCTAAATCGCGGAGTCGGAGCTGGTCGTCTGTATATATATATATATATATATATATATATATATATACTATA